TAGAGAAAGAAAAATGATGGTGGAACCACATGGTAACTCCTCATGTTTTCTTCCAGAAAGCAGTAAATGCCACTTAGACTCATTTTAATTGTTCAAAGCAAGTCATTGGCCAAACAGTGAAGAGGAAACAAAGGATAGGAACAAACCGACAATCTACCATAGCTACCCCAAACTCTAAGACTAGAAGCTGATCATTCCTTTTTAAAAGATATTTTATTTTTTATTCATTTGAAAGGCAGAATTAGAGAGAGAGAGAGAGAGAGAGAGAGAGAGATTTTCCACATGCTATTTCCCTCCCCAAATGACTACAATGGCTGGAGCTTATCTTGGCTAAAGTCAGGTGCCTGGAACTCCATCCAGGTCTCCCATATGGGTGGCAGGAGCCCAAGCACCTGGGCATCTTCCACTGCTTCCCAGGCATATTAGCAGGGAGCTAGATAGGAAGTGGAACAGCTGGGACTTGAACTTGCACTCTTAAATGGGATGGTGGCATCACAACCAGCTGCCTAACATGCTGCACTGTAATGTTAGCCCTGATAGACGTAACTTTAAGTAGGGGAAATATTATTAATCCATCAAAACAAAAATTAAAAGGAAGAATCAAAACTTTTTGAAATTAAAAATAGCTTGATGCATTCAGAAATATATGTATATATACACATACCTACATAAAGAGTGTATTAGTCAGCTTTTCATTGCTGTAACTAAATGTCTGACCCAGGCTACTCAGGAAGGAAGGAGATTTATTTCAGCCTGTGGCTCTGGAGGTTCACAGTCCAAGACTGGGTGAGCCCCATTGGTCTGGCTGTCTGGTGAGGTTGGAGGATGGCAATGGTGAGCCAGGAAGCAGAGAGAGAAGCTGACACGGTCTCTCAGATTTGTATAATCAGCTCTCTGTTAAGAACTCCTCTATGGGCACATCCCCAATGACTTAAAGACCTCTCACTAGGCCCACCTCCTGCACACCATAAACAGATTAAGATTCCATCCTTAATCCATTACCATTAACATAAGACCTTGAAGACCAAGACTTTAACACATGGGCACATGGCACATAGCACTCCAGAGATTTTGATGTCCTTCCTTACAGAACAAAAATCAGTCTAATGAAGTAAGTAGCCCAGAGGAGAAATGTCTTACTGCACCCATAGCTTACCAAAGCACGTTTCTACTGTATCTATCAGATGGATTTTGGCTGGTCACAGAAGGCATTTAAGTTAAAGGTGAAAATGGATTCACTACCACCATTTTCTTGACTGAACACCATTGCTCATCATGTCTGCTCACCTGCTGCCCACAAAAATCCCATTCATCTTTTTAAGTTTGCTTCTAAATCTCCATCTTTTCCAAAAAAAACTTCCTGGATCATTTCTATCAGTGTGAATCACAATGTCCTTAGATGTAGAGGTATTTGTATTTCTAATGAATATATTTCATACTACTTTGTTTTGTAGTTAAATATTTACTCCCCTCCCCCAACTGTGATAGTGTTTTATTTCTTTCTGGGTCCCCCACGGTGCCTAGTGTAGAGAGGTGCACAGGAAGGAACCCAATGATTTATTGTTAAGGCTCATGAATTATAATCTTATATTATGCACATGCTAGTTCTACCCTTGAAGTGTTCCCAGAACATAAGGTGCACACAAGGTGAAGACGATAATTATTTATGATTAGTGTATGCCCAAACTCAACAGTACATTATGAAAGCCTTAGAAAGGTAGAGAAACAGTGAGACAAGCCTGGGAGGAGACGGCTGTGGAGGATGGGGGGCTGTAAAGCAGTCTTAGAATTCTGTTTCTCTAACATTTGTTCCTTTTAGGTATTTCTATTTATAGTCTCTAAGTATTAAATGGTGATTAGTTATATAGGTCTTTTAATAAATTGTTCTGTTGATGTGGTTTGATCTTAGTTATACAAACAATAATAGCAAGCAATATAAATATATTTTAAGGGATCAGGCATGATATTAGGTGGAAAGGAGTTAAAAGCATATATAGAGATATGGGGAGTACTTACGTTCATAATATAGAACATGATTATTTTTAGATTCTTTGATATTGGATTGAGATGTGCTTGTTCTAATTGGTAAATCGAAGAATTGGCCTATATCCTCCATCTGTGTGTTTAGTATTTATGGTGACAGACACCTTATAATCACTCAAAATAGAAATCCCATCTTTGGTGGTAATACAGTACAGAGACCTCAGAAGAGAAGGTCTTAAGGTGCTGTTAATTAGCAGAAATCTGAAGCAAACAGTCTCAAAGCAATTAGGGCCGTTAATTGAATATTTGGATACAGGATGGAATGGCGCCTGTGGCTGGACAGGGTACCCCAGGCTCACATATAGGAGTTAACATTATACAAATATTGCTAAACCAATTCAGAAAGAACAAATGCCAGCTCATGTGTGTTTGTCTAGCAGCCCACTGCATTTTTGAGTAGGACACATTGTTGGCTTTGTGCAAAATTGTCTATTAGTTGCAAAATTCAATATCCAGTCTTCCAGCTCTGTAAATATGACACAGCATTTACTCATGGAAAGCTTGGGAGCTTTCTGGTCACAGTGATTTTTGTTGCTCTCTGTTCGGTAAACAACTCTAGGTAAAAGCAGTTGGTGGTCACACACTGGCTACAGACAAAATCACCTCTAAGGGCTGGAGTTACGGTGCAGAGGATTAAGTCACTCTAGCTTGAATTCTGGTTGCACTGCTTCCAGTCCAGCTTCCTGTTCATGTTCCTGAGAATGCAGCAGGTGATGGCTCACGTACTTGGGTTCCTTCCACTCACACGGGAGACCCAAATTGCGCTCCTGCTTCCTGGGTTTGGGCCTGACCTAGCCCCTGAATGTTGTAGGCATGTGGGGAGTGAACCAGAAGACGGAAGAAATTTTCTATCTCTGTCCTTTCCTCATTCTTTGTCACTCTGCCTTAAAGAAGTCTTACACAAAAACAAAAACAAAAACAAAAACCCATTTCCATGCACGTTTTGGGGCAAAGGGAAACAGCCATTTCTGATAAGCTCAGAGTGGCAAAGTGATTTATTATTGGGGTCCTCCACAGCCTCTGTAACCTCACTGGCTTGGCATTTGATGAATGCATGAACACACTTAGAAAGAGAAACTTGAATACAAGATTGAAAAATGTTTTCAAGAAAGGAAAAAGAAATGAGATATTCCTTTAGAAAAACTTCTGTCAAAGCGGGTTACTTTTTTTAATGGATTGCCTCTTCATTTTTATTTTTTAATTTTTAAAATTTATTTATTTATTTTTTTATGGTGAACAAATTTCATGTATTTCGTATACAGATTAAGGGCACAGTGATACTTCCCACCCTACTCTCCCTCCTGCCCACGATCCTACTCCCTCTTATATATTCTGGCACTAAAAAAAGGATTTAGTTATTTATTTAAAAGGTCAAGCTAGAGAGAGAGAGAGAAAGAGAGAGAGAGAAAGAGAGAGAGAGAGAAAGAGAGAGAGAGAAAGAGAAAGAGATACTCTATTTGATAATTGACTCTTCAAATGGCCACAATAGCCAGATCTGAGTTAGGTCAAAGCCAAGAGCCAGGAAATCCATCTAGGTCCCCAACATGGGTAGCATGGGCCCATTTACTTGGGCCATCATCTGCTGCCCTCCCAGGCACAGTAGCAGGGAGCTGGATTGGCAGCCAAGACTTGAATAAGAATCCCAATATGGGATGCTGGCATGGCAAGCGATAGCTTAACCTGCTGCAGCCACGATGCCTACCCAGACATTTTTGACTCTTGTTTTTCACTGTGCACTCCAACACCTCCACATTTTTAGAAAGGGACCTCACAGCAGTATAGAAACTAGAGATCTCAATCCTGATTTGAGGAATTAAGTTTTCACAAAGACAAGGATTTAGGAACAGGCAATCAAAAATTGCTAACAGATGTTTTGATGTGTACAGAGCATATAAAACAATAAACTGTGATTAAGGCTCAAATCCGAGCTTGTTATGTACATATGTCTTCTAAAAACATGGAGAGAGCCTGCTTAGGAGTTACTGACTAGGGCTTTTAAAAGGCATTGGAGCTGGGGCAGGCATATGGTGGGGCAGTTAATGCGCTTGGATCTGGTTCAGTTCCTGGCTCTAGCTCCTGCTTCCTACTAAGGCAGATCCTGGGAGGAGTAAATGGTGGCTCAAGACCATGCCACCCATGTGGGAGACCAGGATCGAATTCCTTGCTCTGGCTTTTTTGGACTAGGCTGCTGTTTCTGGGTTTTGGAGGGTGTGAACCAGCCAGCAGGTGGGAGGGTTTGTCCCCCCTCCCCTCCTCTAATAAGTAAATCGAAAGACAAGAGAATGGGGGCTGAAGTCATTAGCACCAGACCAGGAAGCAGGTTTAAGAGGTAAAACTGTGACCTCTGTGGGCCAGGAAAGTTCCTGTTATGCAATGTGTGCATTTCATTATTTACACGATTTCAGCAGGTGATTGGGAGCTGTGTACATAGCAAAGCGAGCTAGTAGCAGCACCCCAGACTCTGAAACTAAAACCAATCACTCTCTTCATGGGCTTCCTCTAGCTCTGTTTTTTAAATAGTATTTTCTGGTGGAAGAGTTTCCTTAGATTAAAACTTCTTTTTTCCTTAAATGTTTTTAGGAACCCCAAATTCCTTGGAAAATTTTGCACACTCATTTCCACGTCTTTCTAAGGTCAATTAAAAAGTAATTATTAAAAAAAGATTGGGTTGGGGCAACACTTTTGCTTTTGCGATGGGCTCTCTCAGCTCTCTCTTTCCCCGAAGCCATTGGCAACCTATCTCTATCCTCTCCGATCATCCCCGCCCTCCCCTCATTTTTTTTGGTGTTTCCTGGAGTAAACTTGAAAACAAACAAGAGGAGAAAGCCCCTGACCCAGGCGTGCTCAGAAAGCCAGGAAGGGCAACCTTAGGGGAACCCGCGGGTTCTGGAAGGGGACGCGGGAGGCGGGGCAGGGGTGGCCGAGAGGGAGAGCGGCCGGGTAAGGCATGCGGGAGCGCCCTAGAGCGCAGCGGGCCAAGGAGGTGGCGAACTGCTGCAGTTCCTGAGGATCCGGCCGAGTGGCCCTGAGGCCGGTTTGCTACTGTCTGCTCCCCCGGGTCGCAGGCCACCAAGCGAAGGGGGCGGGTCCTCGCGTGCCAGACACGCCCCGGCCGGATTTATAATTCGCCGGGCGCAGGCTCTCGGAGCTGCTGCTGCCGCGCTCTCGCTCGTCCGGGGGACTCCAGACAAGCTCCCAGCGCCTGTCTCGGGTAAACTCTAGGTGGATCGCACGGTCGCCGAGCGCCGACTGGAAGCCACCCCTCAGCGCACTCACGCGCACCGGCACCCAAGCGCTCCCACCGCCTCTCGTGCGCGCTCGCCCAGCCAGGGCGCAGGCACCCAGCCAGGGCGCCCAGCAGCCTTCCTATGGCTGACCTGAGCTTCATCGAGGATTCCGTCGCCTTCCCCGAGAAGGAGGAGGACGAGGAGGAAGAAGAGGAGGGCGTGGAGTGGGGCTACGAGGAAGGTAACCGGCCGCTTGTTGGGGCGTCCGGAGTCCTGGGACGGCGGGTCTGTTTCACCGGGGTCTCGGTCGTTTTTCCACTCCCTGGCGACTTTGCAGGCGGGAGGCACTCTGGTGAGGGGAGCCTGCCGCCCGCGTTCTTCTGCCTCCTGCGTTCGCGCGTGGGGAGCTGAGGTGGGGTTGGCCTTAGTCGCGGGCAGCGGTTCGCACCTGCTGTACTCCCCAAAGCCAGTCCTCAAGCCGCGGCTTTACCTTTTCTGTCTTCTGTTGAGCCAGCGGTGCCTTTGCCACAACACCGTGAGAGGACGACGTTAGTGAAACTCCCGGTTTCTTGCTTGCTTTGAGGACTTCGTAGGCAGAAAACCTTTCTGCCTTTTCAGCCTTCAAAGAAACTAGCAACGCTCATCTCCTTGTAAAATCTGTCCTAAAACTGAATCTGTGCACCTGTGGCTAAGGGGTTGACTTTTAAGAAAACTTAGCAAACAATGAATCTCTGGAGCTGTGGATTCCTTATAGAGACAGCCATTGGTGCTGATGTATGCTACATATATTGAAACAAGTATAATTATATAATTTTAATTACAAAAATTATATATATTTTTGTGCATATATATATACATGCACCCTCTTTATAGTATTTGCGTTTCTGATAAGAGATATTTATTCACTAGCCTCAGAGTTATGATGTTTGCCTGTCATCATACATGTTCAAAGTTACAGCTGTTTCTCCAGCACTTAATTGAACTAAGGAGCAGAGGAAATTTTTGTGTATTTTTTTTTTTTTTTGTGTGTGTAATCACTTAAAGATGACTCAAATTCCCTGGAGTCATAACTTATTACATCTATGTGGGCAAATACAAATAGAAACGGTTCATTAGTCCTGGAGTTTGTATGTGGTATTGGATAATAACGGATCATTCAAAATATGAATACAGAAATTCACACACCTTTGCCCTGTTTCATCTGGAGTTGTAATGCTCCTTGTAATGTCAAGGAGCCCAAGGGCTTCACTTACTTCTGCGTGTTAAATTTTGTTGTCACTTCTCTTATGTTTTGGTACCTGTTTCTCATGTGTCTTACTTCGTCCCTAGGTGTTGAGTGGGGTTTGGTGTTTCCTGATGCTAATGGGGAGTACCAGTCTCCTATCAACCTGAATTCAAGAGAAGCCAGGTATGACCCCTCACTGCTGGATGTCCGCCTCTCTCCAAACTATGTGGTCTGCCGAGACTGTGAGGTCACCAACGACGGACACACAATTCAGGTTATCCTGAAGTCAAAATCAGGTACGTTAGAGGCTGTGCGTGTGCTCTTGCCAACTGCAAGCCACAGAGCTACGGATCTCTGATTTAACCTGCGTGACTGGAGAGACGCAATGACTACAGCTGTGTTTTCAGGACACTTGTGTAGATTATAGAACACTTTATTCTGAGGGAAAATTATTTTCTGAAACAATGTTGAAAGGCTTAAAGGGTGAAATTATGAAGATGGCGGTTGGTGGCTCTACTGGGTCAGATGTTACTGGAACCTTACTTTAGTCAACCTGTACTTTGTGGAATATGAAGGACGTACATGTAGCTGTATAAATAAGCATTTTCTCCTAAACTGTTAATTAGCTTAAGTCATTTAGATATTTGTGTTCTGTTTTACAACTTTGTAACACTAAAGATTAGGATTTTTTTTGACATAATCTGTCTTTCAAGATAGACTTTTTAAGTCTATTGTATTAACATGACAGGGATAATTTTAAGTAATAGCAGTCAAAAGCATCCTAAATTTTGCGAGAGATTTAAATGACAGAGTTTTGCTTTCATTTATTTATTGTGATAACTTCTCATCCCTTCATCTTATTTGAGATGGGTCTGAAATGTTTTGAGAAGATGTCGGTTAATTATCAAGGAAATACAGTTTTGTCTTAAATGTAAGGAAGAGGAAATAATATTTTTTAAAAAATAGCATTATCAAGTTTTCCATAGCAAACAATGACTATCTCCCTTTTGGGAAGAATATAAAATTAGATGATGTTGAAATGTTAGGACGTGTTTGATGAACATGGACTGACTATGACTAAATTTATTCCTAATGGATGAATTGATACCTCAAACCATAAAATCTTTAGGTTTATTATTAGCAACACAGATACTGATTTTCAGTTGTGGAATTTTTTTATTCATTGTGCATATTTTTTTTTTTTTTGACAGGCAGAGTGGACAGTGAGAGAGAGAGACAGAGAGAAAGGTCTTCCTTTACCATTGGTTCACCCTCCAATGGCCGCCGCGGCCGGAGCGCTGCGGCCGGCGCACCGCGCTGATCCGATGGCAGGAGCCAGGTACTTATCCTGGTCTCCCATGCGGGTGCAGGGCTCAAGTACTTGGGCCATCCTCCACTGCACTCCCTGGCCACAGCAGAGAGCTGGCCTGGAAGAGGGGCAACCGGGACAGAATCCGGTGCCCTGACTGGGACTAGAACCTGGTGTGCCGGTGCCGCTAGGCGGAGGATTAGCCTATTGAGCCGCAGCCCTGGCTGCATTGTGCATATTTCTGAGCTTTTATTTAGAATCTGTGAGATAGCTGTGGATCATGTGGTCTTCCTTACCGTTCTTGGAGTCAAGCTATGGAAGCTGTCCCAAAGAGATTCTGGGTTTTATATGTACTTAGTGGAAGAGATGGTTTCAGATATAAATTAAAACATCTAATTTTGGAGGGGAGTGGTTTACCTATGATGGGATGTTATCACCTTTAAACACATAGTCAGATTAGGTTTCTACCTCTTAATTCCTCAAAATGGAATTGAATTTCAACTTCTAAAGCCCTGGGGGACACTCAGACTACATGTGAACCATAGCAACAAATGCCCTTGTCACATCTCACACTTGACTGGCGTTTGCCTGGGATGACAGTGGAGGTTGACAGTCTCTTGGATGTCATTTGATGTTTGACATCTTTGCTACATCGCCTTCCAGCTCCCAGTGGTGTGTTGGAAAGATCTGGTGGGCTTTTGTTTTTCACCCCTCAGTGTTCTTTTTTTTCCCCTCACTCTGGAAGCTGTCACTGTTCCCTTTGTTTTCAAATTTTACAACTGTCTTGGTGTAGTTCTATTCCTCAGTCTCTGTGCTGGGCTCAGGGTGAGTTCGTTCAATCAGGATAATTTTATCTTTTATTTCTCAGAAATATGCTTGAGAAGATAGATGTATTTACCCTGATCACACATTACACAATATACACATGTATCAGAACATTTCATGTTATACCATAAATATGTACAGTTCTTCTATGTCTGCTAAACTTTTTTTACGGTGAGAAAAATTATAGGGGGGCTGGCACCGTGGTCACTAGGTTAATCCTCTGCCTGCGGCGCTGGCATCCCATATGGGTGCTGGGTTTTAGTTCCGGTTGCTCCTCTTCCAGTCCAGCTCTCTTCTGTGGCCCAGGAGGGCGGTGGAGGATGGCCCAAGTGGTTGGGCCCTGCACCCGCATGGGAGACCAGGAAGAAGCACCTGGCTCCTGGCTTGGATTGGCGTAGTTCCAGCCGTAGCAGCCATTTGGGGAGTGAACCAGCGGAAAGAAGACCTTTCTTTCTGTCTCTCTGTCTAACTCCATCTGTTAAAAAAAAGGAGAAAAATTATAAATAAGATGAAGATTTCTTCTGAAATAAAGATATCATTCACACTCAAAAAAAAGGGGGATTTTCTTTCAAGATTTATTTTTTGAAAGGAAGAGAGAGAGAGAGATTTATCTTTCCTCTGCTAGTTCACTGTCCAAATGGCCACAGCAACCGGAGTTGGGCAGGACAGAAGCCAGGAGCCTGGAACTCCATCCAGGTTGGGTGGATCATTGTCTGCTGCTTTCCCAGGCCTTTAGCAGGGAGTGGGATCAGAAAGAAACAGCCTGGACTCAAGTCAGCACTTATGTGGGTTGCCACTGTTGCAGGTTGCAGCTTAACTGGCTGCGCCACAGTGCTGACTCCTCAAAAAGGAAATTTTTGTATTTTTTATTATTTCATTGATTTCTGTATTTTCATTTTTTTCCTCCTCTTTCAGTAACTCCTACTTTCTCTTTGCTTTTTTACCCCTACTTTTTGGTAGACTTACCTAATTTATATTTGTATTTTTCAGTCTTATGGGTGAACTTTTTTAAAAAAAGATTTATGTATTTGAAAGGCAGAGTAATGTAGGGAGAGTAGGAGAGACAGAAACGGAATCTTCCATCTGCCAGTTTATTCCCCAAATGGCCACAATGAAGCCAGGAGCTTGGAACCCCATGAAATGGCCCATGTACTTGGACCATCTTCTGCTGTTTTCCCAGGTGTATTAGCAGGGAGCTGGATCAGAAGCAGAGCAGCTTCTCCCATATGGGGTGCCAGGGTCATGAGTGGCATCTTAACTTGCTGCACCACAATACAAGCCCCTCTATTAACTTTTAATTTCCATTCCCATATTTTTAAATTCTAAAAAAAATTATGCTTTTTTAAAAGTATTTATTTATTTATATATTTATTTTTTAGAGATTTATTTATTTACTTGAGAGACAGAGTTAGAGACAGAGAAAGGGAGAGACAGAGAGAGGTCTTCTGTCTGCTAGTTCGCTCCCCAAATGGCTACAATAGCTGGAGCTGGGTCTGCTCAAAGCCAGGAGCCAGGATCTTCTTCCTGGTCTCCCACATGGGTGCAGGAGCCTCAGGACTCAAGCCACCTTCCACTATTTTCCTAGGCCAAAGCACAGAGCTGGATTGGAAGTGGAGTAGCTGGGATGTGAACTGGCACCCAGATGGGATGCTGGCGCTGCAGATGGAGGCCCACCGAAAACTATGCCACTGCACCAGCTCCTATTTTACAGTATTTAAAATTTAAAAAAATATAGCATCCAGTTTTTGTTTCACTAATGGAGGATCTTCATTTTTCTCTTATTGTTTTCTGTCTGTATGTCTTCATTTATCCTGGGTTCCTTCCTCTCTGAAGGCACCCCAAAAAATTTGTGGAAGATGAATTAAAAGATTATTTAAATTTTAAATGTAAAAAAATTGAAATTAATGCATAAGAGGATACTTCAGAGGATTCAAGGGAAATGTATATTATGAAAGAATTATACATGAATTTCAAAATTTGTGCAATAAAAAAACTCACCTTTTTATTCTGCTTTTATGAACTTTTAAAACAACTTACTGGCCAGCGCTGCGGCTCACTAGGCTAATCCTCTGCCTTGCGGCGCCGGCACACCGGATTCTAGTCCCGGTCGGGGCTCCGGATTCTGTCCCGGTTGCCCCTCTTCCAGGCCAGCTCTCTGCTGTGGCCAGGGAGTGCAGTGGAGGATGGCCCAAGTACTTGAGCCCTGCACCCCATGGGAGACCAGGAGAAGCACCTGGCTCCTGCCTTCAGATCAGCGTGGTGCACCGGCCGCGGCGGCCATTGGAGGAGGGTGAACCAATGGCAAAGGAAGACCTTTCTCTCTGTCTCTCTCTCTCACTGTCCACTCTTCCTGTCAAACAACAGCAACAACAACAACAACAGAAACCAACTTACTGACTGACTCTTAAAGGCATAATGACAGAAAAGGAGAGAGAGAGACCTTCTGTCCCATGGTTCACTCCCCAAATTGCCACAACAGCCTGATCTAGTCCAGGCTGAAGACAGGAGCCTGGAACTCTGACAGTGTTTCTTACATGAGTAGTGGAAGTTCAAATACTTGGGCCAGCTTCCACTGCTTTCCCAGGTGTGTTAGCAGGGAGCTGGATCAGGAGTGGATCAGCTGGACTGGAACGGATAGGGGATGCAGTGTCACAAGCTGTGGCTTAACTTACTGCACCCCAATGCCAGCCCCCAATAAGCTTTTGAAGCACCCCTGTATTTGTTTTGGTCTCTTCCTTTTGTGTTCTAGGTTCATCTCAAATGTCTAGTTATTTTTGTGTCATTGTCCTTGTTAAGAATGGATCTAAAACAAAGATGAGGAGCTGTACCTACATGGACAGGGATTGGGGTCCCTTGAACTTCACAATAATGCCCTCAGATAAGGTCCTGGACAATTTGTTAGGTTATATCAGTTCCTCATGGATTTGCCTGTTTCATGTTTGTGCTTGTATTTGTGGTTTTGTTTTTGTTTTTGTTTTTGTTTTGTTTTGTTTTTGGGGAGGGTGTTTGGCTCATACCTGTGTGTCAGCATTCTGGTTCTTGGCCACAGCCTGGAGAGTGTCACCATTTGGTACACCCACGCTGCTTTCATCTTCTGTCATGGAGTGGTAGGAGGGGGCTGGCTGGTCATGGCGATGGATCAGCAAGCTTAACTGCTGCCTT